AGTAGGCTATGGAAACAAGAACTATATTATCACACAAAGCACAAAACAATAATGAATCGTTTAAATTAAATGTTCAAATTGACTTCCGTTTACGTCTAGGCATTTTTTGGCATCTTCACATTCAACTTGTGAGTTGTGTGAAGGTGCACTATCATGTTGAAAATATGCCAATTTTCGATACGATGTTAATGGAAAACGTTGTCATCAAGTTCATTTGGTAAAAAGCGTAAATATCTTTCAATATTTAAATTGTGATTATGAAAGAATGGACCAATCATTTTATCACTAAAAATGCCTCACTAGCCATTCACAAAAAAATATGTTGATCTCGCCTATTTTCAATTAGATGATGATTTTGATTAGCCCAGTAAACATGATTGTGTCTGTTAATTATTTCATTTTTGTTTTGTGTTTGGTGTGATAATATAGTTCTTGTTTTCATAGCCTACTACACATTTTTTATCTTCTTTTGAAGTTTTACGGCAACAAAAGGAGAAAAACATACAAACAGTTGTATCGTTAAATTCAGAAAAAAATAATAATTTTAAAAGGCCTACAGCCAACTATGATTACCATTTAAAAAACCATAAGTTTATTTTTTATTTCGTAAATCAAGTTGACTATGATAACGAGTGCTAGTTTATTAAATTCAACGCAAAAAGTTCTACCAAAGACAGTTTTAACTTTTTTTCTAATTTAAGCAGTTTACGAATTATATGATCATTAAAAAAGTGTTGATTTCTTGCATTTTCAGGATATATCAGGAACCAAGTCGGGTACCTACATTTTGAAAACGGTAATGAATAGGCAATCTAATTCTGCCCAGTTTTGCCCAGTTAACGGATTCTCTATCTTTAAAAATGTAGAAGTTACCCATACAAAGATTCAGAAAATGGCCACCCTGTATAGTTACTTTGAGGGTTTCTTTCTAAATTTGCGACATATAAGACGTGAAATCAAAAAAACTGTTAAATAATTGGGACTTAATTACTTAATAAACAATTAATTAACAATGTTCCAATATCCCGACTTTCATTCGTTAGACTTTTGAATTTGGGATTCTTCAAAACGTTTAGTTTACGACTAAATAGTCGGCACAAGAAATGCGTCCATTGAGCTGCTTTAAGTATTTAAAAGTTGAAAGTCACTATTTACCTTAAAGTAGCCAGCTCCGAGCAAAGTACAATTATACCCAAAATACGAAAAGGGTTTCGAGCCCTGCATTTCAACGATCGTCAACTTTTCGTGGACTGAAAGCTAAAACTGAAGTCTAAAATATCTGTTTTCGGTAAATGCACTTTTAAACCGAGCTAAAAATTATATTAGAATCCTTTTGGAAAATTGGTTATTAAAAACAGATTTCGGTGCACCTGTTTGTGTCCTTGGGAGACTTTATCAGCTTTTGAAGGCAAATATATTACTTTGTTAAACTACTTGGTCAACAAACAGAAATACGTCAATTTTCCACTTGGTAACTTTTGGCTTGTTTTAACGTAATTTTAGTCAATCATAGTTTCATGCCAGAAATCCACAATTTTTAATCATCATTACTTTAGGAATGTTTGACATATTATTTATTTAAAATTAGGCCTTCGTTTTTGGTAAATTAACCTACCGGAAAACATTAACTTCATCTTTTCATTAACTACAAATTATGTAAGTTTTAGAGCCGCAGTCGCCTTTATAGCTGATGAAGCGCACTTTTTTGACTGTGATTTGTTGCTTTTAGTTTAAGTATAAGTGAACATTTTAAAGTAGCAAAAGTGATTATAGTCATAAATCCTTACGTAACGATACGAACTTCCTAGACACAAAATCACAATAAATATTGTTGCTATTAAAAACAATTTAATTCAAAAGAAATTCCTGGGTTCCAGTCAATTTTATTGTTTATGTTTTTGTAATATTTTAAATGGTAAACAATAAAATTAAGTGGAACCCAGGAATTTCTTTTGAATTAAGTTGAAACACAGTCAGGAAAATATATACAATAAGAGCAATGACAAAAATCATTTTAAACTTTTTTTCTACAGAACACGCTGCAAAAGAAATAACGTAAAATTTATTGGACACCTGCACGTAAAACACTCTACATTTTAGGCTCATACAGGAATTACAGATTGACTAAAATCAATGTAAGGCAATGCGTTGACTTTCCCTGAGAAAATGTATCATAAGATACATATTTTGGTTGAAATTAAGCTGGTTTCTTCTTCTTGAGAAAACTACAGTTATTATATTTAAGAACTTTGATTTGTTAAAAGAAACAACAAATTTGGGCAGCACTAAACATCAGCAGTGTAATGTGGTGTAACCTATGGTCCTGTGCAATTCTGAAACCAAATCATAGCGCATCAGAAAACGTAAGCTGTACTAAGGGACTTAAATGTTTCTGACCCATTACGCGATTGTGAAATATGTTTGGAAACCCTTGTAATATAAAGCGGAGTTGATGACAAAATACTAAATATAAAAATCATATTCAATGACAAAAAATGAAAATGCGTACATGAGTTTTCTAAGCTTAATGGTATTTGATTTCACTCGCTCTCAATATTCATTATTTTTCCATTATGAACTGCCCTAAGTAATTTAGCACTTTTAAATTCAAATCTACACGAATTAAAATTTGCCGTAAAAGTGAATCTTTTGTTAGCAGCTTCAAATTGCGAGATCTACTGAAACGGTGAAATTCATTCGGCTTTATCTTTTTCCAGTAGAATAAGCTGCTTGGCATATTAAGCCTGTTTATTAGAAGGTTATTAAATTAGCCTGCTGTTGAAAATATCTACCAATAGCGAGACCGACACGGAAGTAATTATAATTTATATATTGAAATCGATTTTTCTTTTATATTTTATTAAAAGACCGACCTATGCTTGGAATACAAAGCTACTAGAGTTATTCGTTTTACAACTATTGGAATTGTCGATTTATTTAACACAATATTAGGGAAGGAAATTCAATAGTCTGTTAATCGTCGGTAAAATAAAATCGTCGAAARCAGAAATRTGCTGATGTAARAACCAGTAATGATTTGAATTAGAAGCACATAACAGCAAACAACTTTCCAGCAACTTAGAAAATGTWWGTGTATTTTGATATGCTTTAGGCAAAATGTTAAATAGTTTTAATTGAAACTAATCCTATGWAAATRCCYACACSCCYCTTTTACAGAGTCAATGACTTTCTCATRAAAGATCAACTTTTTGCATGTACTAATAAACTATTTCTTGTAAGTTCATATGCTTAAAAGCAAACCGAGGCGCTACTTCTTATTAGCCCTACCCCCTTTGTTAAAAAAACTGTTTATCAGTCCTCATTGTTCTCAGGTAATGTATATTTCTTTGACTTCTTTTGTTGCTTGTTGGTTTGAGACGATGCAAAGAAAATACGTTCCGCGAAGCTTACACGTTTTTTCATTGGCCAAAGTCCCACGTTTTTATCAAGTTTTTCGCCCTACAGGGGTTCTTTATACATTCAATGCTTGCTTCCTGTAGCATTCACATGCTATATTCATATAAAGCCACCAAGCTGAAGGAGTCGAAGTCAACGGAAGTCATTGTCAAAAATTGCCTACTGCAAATACTGAATCTGGAAGCTTCAAAGGATTTCAAGAACAGAGTTCCGCTTGAAAAATTCTATTCACATTTTCGGATAGTGTATTTCAGAACGGTATTTGTTCTTCCTTTTGCGTTATTATTTAAAGTTAAATTATTTTACGTAAAATTTACTCAAAAGGGTGCTTCGTGAAAGCTTCGTGAAAACTTAGTGCTGAAACGTATTGTACCACACTGTGAATTTAGTGCTGTTGCAAGTTTATTGATATAAAACTGTAATAAAATCGAATGTTAAGATTTAATTAAATTTTTACATTGTTCCACAAATAATTATATTATATATTTCATTATGTATGAACAGGAAGTTTCACTAGTGGTAGTAGTTTTATGTTCTTCTTGTTAATCGTTTGCCACATATTAATGTTATTGTGGGCATTTTATTTAAAAACGATGTTTTTGAAATTTATAAATAATTTTTCATTTTTAGAAAACATATGAAACGTTGTTTTCTCTTCATCAATATTAAACAAAATATACACTATTTTGCAATTAGATTATATAACCA